ACCAGTTAGTTCACATAGTGTACACCAGCAATGATTTATGGTGAATGCCCCTTTTTCTCTGGAGGTCTGGAGCTTTGTTAACTGAGGTAGGTCATGCAGGTGGTATATGCCTGTGAATGATCCTCTGTAAAATACTGAGATGCCCAGGCCTGGTCAAGCTTCCCTGGTTGACAACACTTTGCATATGTTGTCATGCATCATTGCTGGAGGAATTAAGCACATCCTGTGCTACTCCCCAGGGAGGAGACACTTGCAAGTTTGTGCCTGGCTTCCTCCAGACTTCATCCTATGCACATTTTCCCTTTGTTAATTTTATTCTGTATCTTTTTGTTGTAAACTTAAGTATAACAAGTATAAACTTATGTCCTATGAGTCCTTTTAGGGAATTAAATCTGAGTGTGGTGTTGGGGACTCCAAATGCAGGTAGTTTGGAGTCTATTATCTCCAAATAGAAACTGTAGTACACAGATATTAAATACCTTGTCATGCTGATATTGGATGACAAAGGTGGAATTCAAATTATCTGTCTCTAGTGCCCATGGTTTTAACAACTACTTACAAGTAAAGATAATCTGACATAATTGATGTCTCTTAAATAGAAAACTCAATAATTAAAACAGAAAACTTATGCAAAGATATAATACAAGAAAATTTCCCTTTTAAAAAATATGCAGCCTAGAAAAGCACTCCTTTTCCAGTAAAAAAAAAAAAGATGCAGAATATCACCAAAATATTGTTAAGTTTTGAGGATACTGAAACTTGAGGATAAGCAAAACTATTTTTAGATGTTCATGTAGGGAAAAAAGTCACCTTTAAGGGAGAAAAACATTCAAGCTGTTTCATAACAACACTCATGGGCAGAATGCAGTGAAGCTAAGTTCACAATTGCACTAGAGAAAAGAAAATAGGACCCAGGATTTTGTAGCCCCTCAAATTGTCCTTTAAGCATGAAGAACATATGCAAAAATTCAGGGAAAACAATATCCATAAACTCCTCATTTTTGTAGAACTATTTTTGTCAATCTATCTAACGAAATTCTTATGAGGTTATCCTGAAGTTACTGATAGTTGTTTTATATGATAGAGCTTCAATATCCAATATGGTAGCCACTGACTATATGCAACTATTGAGCACATGAGGTATGGCTAATATTGTTAAATACTATAAATGTTAATGTACACACCAGATTTCAAAGACTTAATACAAATAAAAGTAAAATATTGCATTAGTTTTTATTTCATATTAATGGTATAGTGAAATGACATTTTAGATATATTGTATTCAGTTAAATAAACTATCATTAAATTAATTTTACTTTTTTTTTTTTTTTTTTTTTTTTTTTTTGAGACAGGGTCTCCTTCCCCGTCACCCAGGCCAGAGTGAAGTGGCACAATCTTGGCCCACTATCAGCCTCAACTTCCTGAGCTCAAGTGATCCTCCTGCCTCAGCCTCCCAAGTAGCTGGGACTATAGGCACACACCAGCACACCCAGATAATTTTTTGTTTTTAGTAGAGACGGGGTTTCATCACATTGCCCAGCTGGTCTCAAACACCTCAGTCTTCCAAAATCCTGGTATTACAGGCCTAAGCCACCATGCCAGGCCCCTCTTTTTACTTTTTAAAAAAGCTCATAGGAAATTTAAAATTCAATGTGTGGCTTGCATTATATTTCTGTTGCACAGCACCATAGCAGACTTGGGGGAGAGATTTCGCTTGTTTGTACTATTTAGTGTAGTTTGATCTTTTAAAATAAGTATGGTTATTCATATGAAACAATAAACTCATTATTCCTAAATTGAATAAATAAACCAATGGACAAAGAGCTATGCTTTTTCCCCTGGGATGTTGAGACAACTAGCTGGGAGGCTCTGGATGGGAACCAATAACAAAAGAATGGAGAACAGCTGTTCATTGTCCAACCCACTCCTTTACAGATAGGAAAACTGAGACCCCAAAGGTCACTTACCACTCTAAAATCTCATGGACTCAAGTGTGCAGCAGATGAGGCAGAAATACTGACTTCGGGGACATTCTCTGCAGCTCCCACAAGCACCTCCATGGTGTGTAGTGCCGCTTTTAGACAAGGAGTTCAGTTCATCCTCGCTCATACCTCTTGCCCAGAGTGCTTCCTCTTCCAAGAAATCAAAAACAAGATATTTCCTTTGGCCCATGGACACAGGGACTCTTCTCCTCCTGCAGGTATTAGTTCCAGCCTCCCAGCCCTGGTTCAGAACTCTTAGCTCTTGGCTCCATGAAGTTCAGCAGCTTCCTTGCCCTCTGTCTTGCCATCTGCCTGGTTAGCTGAGGTGTTGTTGAGAAAGAGGACCCTGAGACCTGTAGCCTATGGGACAGGGCTGGCTCCAACAGGCTACCCAGTCACTTTCACCTCAGGGGGAATCCAAGGCCCAGATACTGAAAGTGTTCACCTGTGGTCACCATTCAGTCTGGGGGAAGACCTGGGGCCAGACCTCTCAGACGTCTATTTGATTTAATTAAGTCTTAACCGAATTATTATTTTATTATTATTATTAGTTAGAGACAGAGTCTCACTCTGTCACCCAGGCTGGAGTGCAGTGGCATGATCTCCACTCACCATAAGCTCCACCTCCTGGGTTCAAACAATTCTCCTGCCTCAGCCTCCCAAGTAGCTGGGACAATAGGCATCCACCACGCCCAACTAATTTTTATATTTTTATTAGAGGCAGGGTTTTACCATGTTGGCCAGGCTGGTCTCAAACTCTTGACCTCAAATGATCCACCTACTTCGGCCTCCCAAAGGGCTAAGATTACCGTACCCAGCCTGAGAAAGTAAGTTTTCATACTACTTTAAAAATAAGACCAAGTTCTTAAGCTTGGCTATAGACTGGTGTCACTTGGGGACTTTGTGAGTCCCACCTTCAGTAATTCTGATTTAACCGGTTTGGGTAAAGCCTGGGCATCAGGATTTTTAAGTTTCCCAGGTGAATCTAACATCTAGGATAGCAATTTGAAATAGGGTACGGCCAGGGAAAACCTCACCGATAACTTGACAGTGGAGATGGTGAAAAGGGGTGGGATTCTGGATTTATTTTGAAGGTAGGGTGCATAGAGGATGACTCACAGGTATTTTTCCCGGGGACCTGGAAAGATATGAGCTACATTTAACAGAGATGAAGCGACTATGGATGAGGATGTTTGGGGTGGGGTGGAGTACATTAGAAGCTTGGTTTTGGAGACACTCAATTTGAGATGTCTTTAGACATCCAAATGGGGAAAGCAAGTAGGCAGCTGGGTAAATGAATCTAAGATCCAGGGAGGAGGTCTCATCTAGAAATATGTGGTTGTTGCCAGAGCATGGGTTACATGTGGTGTGATAGTGGGGGCCGTTTCTAGGTATGGACAGGGCTGCGGGGATAAAACAGCAAGGCCACTCTGTGCTCTTCTGACTTGGCAGACACCCCATGCTATGCATGCTGCATCCCACACTAGGCACACTACACAGACCACTTAGCTTCGTGTATCCACCCACCTGCGTTCCTGTCTCATTTACAGTCTGCTGCTTTACCACTTTGGAAGTAAACTCAAGTAAAAGCACCCTGAACAAAGTGTCTTAACCCATGGCGTAGACTAGCTCACTACCTGCCTACATACGCACACATACCACCCACGTGTTAAGGGCTCTGAAAACTCTTCAAGGAACCTAAACAGCCCATCCGTGTTGGCTACAGACACCAGTGCCACTGTGTTAAGACTGCTGTACCCACGCATGTGGAGCTGCTGGAGTGCCCCTTGCCCATCCCTATCTTGGATCCCAGATCCCAAGCCAGAATAGCCCACACCCAATTAATACATTTAGCATTTGCTAATTGAGCACTTACATGTCCTGAGTTGGGTTAGGTCTTAATGAGAGACTGAACCTGTGCCTCCAGGAAGCACGCCATTTGGTGGAGGTGAAAGGACAGCGGCCAGGTGATAAAGAACACGTGTTAAGTCCAAGGCAGTCTGGAAGCAGCGGGCAGGGGGCACAGGCAGCAGCCTGGCACATCAAGGGAAACTTCCAGGACGGAGCAACTTCTCATCTGGTTTTGTAAGAGGGAACCAGGCAGATGAGAGGTGTGCATGGTTGGTGGAATAGGGCATTCTAGGCCAACCCACTATGATGGGAGAACTGAGTGGGGGGTGGGAGGTGGGGGAACTGCAAATAACTCACACAGTTGATGCCAAGTGTGCCAGAGGAAAAGACAGAAGATGAGGGCAGTGGGAGGCACCCGCCTAAAGGCTTGTTTTGCAGGAATCCAGTGTTATGTAACCAGCAGGGGAGGTGGGCAGAGTGGGCTTCAATCCAAAGAGCCTGGCTTCGAAGCCCGAGGGTGGTCTGAGGACAGCACACAGCATGAGCTCCTGGGGAGCCTGCTAAAAAGTCAAAGGCTGGGCCATGCCCAGACCAACTGAATTAGCAGGATCTGGACCCCAGGAACCTACGTTATTTTCACAAGTGCCCCAGTGACTGATGCACACTGCAGTGAGAGACCCACCACCCAAAGCTCTCCCACCTCTCCACTCTACCCTTGCTGATGTGGACTGGTTCTCAGGGCGCCCAAGAAGTAGGATGATTCATTTCCATGGTCGTGGATTATGCTTTCAGAAACCCTCCCAAACAACCCAGGGAGTTCTGGGAATCACAATCAGATGCGGATGGTGACGGGGAGCCGATCAGAAGAAGAAATTTCTGACCAGATGGGAGGAGGTAGTGGGCTGTTTAGGATTTTTTTTTTTTTTTTTTTTGTAGATGGAGTCTCGCTTTGTCACCCAGGCTGGATAAACTGTGTGTGACTCACTTTAATTTGATATTTTTTTTATTGTGGTGGCGTGGAAACAAACTTGTAATATATCTGAGATATGCCTGTAATTATTTTTTGGATGTGTGTGTGTTGTGGGGGCAGGCATAGGGTAGGAGGTCCTGTTCAGGCACCTGGCAACCACCCCCAGTCTGCAGCTCTTCCCAGGACAGAAGGCAAAGAACCAAGAAAACGTCGTTTTTATTCCACAATCAGTAAAATCCCTCCACCACTCAGTGACCACACCGTGCAGCACACCCCCTCACCTTGGCCAGTGCTGCCAACAAATGCCAACAAACCTTTCTGCAGTGATGGAAGTCTTTTCCTCTGCTGTCCAGTACAGTAGCCACTGACCACTTTTGGTTATTGAGCACCTCAATATAGAGGTGGCCACCACAGGTGAGGAAATCAATTTCTAATTTAAGTTAATTCAAATTCAAACGCCACATTTGGCTCGTGGATCCTGTACTGGACAGCACAGCTGTAGCCCTGATCCGGTCCAGGGCACTTTGGTTCAAAAGCCAATTCTGAGGACAGCAAGTGGCAGAAAGAGCCCTTGGGCCTACTGCCAACCCTCCCCAGAGAGAAACAGCAGCCGCAGCTGCTGAAAAGGGCAAGAGTCAGAGTGGGGGGACACCTCGGATGCGCCGGATAAGGTTTGCCAGCCGCTTGGCCAGGCCACCCGTGCGGGGCTCCTCGATGTGGAAGGTCCGGGTGAGGAGATTGTAGAAGGAGCCGTAGCACACAGCCACCACAGTGCACGTGAGGCAGATCACGTTGTAGGGCATGCTGAAGTCCGGTGTCGGCAGGTTCACCAGCAGCGGCTCCGTGTAGAGTCGCACGAAGTAGTTGGAGCCATCGGAGACTGGGAACCTGGGGTCGAGGAAGGAGAGGTGAGACAGGACTGGCTGCTCCTCCCCACCTCACCCCGTCCTTACTCTGGCAGTCCTGGGCAATGCAGCACAGTAAGTGTTTCCAATGTTCTCTTGGGCTCAAAACCTTTCAACAGGCAGCACAGCTCAATCTATAAACCTGACAAAAGGAGAGCAGCCGGCAGGTGGGGGGCCATGGGGCCTGGGGAGTGAGGGCATTAGGACAAAAACACCTAATGCATGCGGGGCTTAAAACCTAGACGATGGGTTGGTGGGTGTAGCAAACCATCACGGCACATGTATAACTATGCAACAAACCTGCGCGTTCTGCACATGTATCCCAGAACTTAAAGTATAATGAAAACAAAAAAGTAGAGAAGCCTGGTGTTAAAGTGGAAGAAAGGGGCCCGGCCTTTGTTTGGTTACCTCTTCCTTAGCCTGATCTCAGCCTAAATGCCACCTCCTCAAAGAAGCCTTCCTAGATAACCCACTAAATCAATCCCTATCCCACTTCTAACCCCATTGCTCTCTAGAACAGACTTTTCCCTCTAGACTATCAGCAAAGGGAGGGCAGGGCCAAGTCTGTTTTGTTTATTCTTGTACCCTCAGTACTCTCAGAAGCGCTTGGCATTTCATAAGTGCTTCATTAAATATTTAAGAACATCAAGGAGTAAATGTAGGCTCTGAGTAAATGTGTTCTTGGAGAAGCACTTTAAAATCATTTTATAAAGTCTTTACAAACTTCACAGACTGCTGTGATTTTTATTAGGATTGAATTAAATCTATACATTTCTTTGGAAGATGTAACATCTACCCTGACCTCCCCTGCAGGAGCCTGGTCACCTGTGTTAAGACGCAGCAGGCAGCAGAGGATGTGTTATCAGTGAGTGTGGTCACACTTACAGGCTGTTGAAGAGGGGACTCTCTTCCCAGTCCACTGGATTGGCTGCTACCATGCTGGGCACAAGGGCACTGAGGACAGATGGGCTACAGAGAAGCAGAGAGACGGCATGTGTTCCCACCTGGCTCCCCTACCAAGGGGTAAGCAGCGGAGAGGGTGGGTCAGGAGGATGAGAGGCAGCCTGTGGGGGTGGGGCCCACCTGACGTAGAAGCCATGGTTAGGGTCTGGGGTATACTCAGTCCACTTCAGCAGCGCCCGCTCAAACTGGATGGAAACCTTGGTGACTGAGTTGGCCGGCAGCTGAATCAGCATCTCCAGGAGGTGGGGTTGCAGCCGGTCCTGGGCAGGCTGGTAGTGGATGTAACCTGGAGACAGGCAAGGGTCACCCACACCTCTTTCCTGGGGTCAGGCTACCTACTGCTCCTGTCCCTGCTGCTTGCCATGGGGCCTCAATCTGGGTGCCTAGAAGGTGGGCTTGGGAGCGTAGCAGCCAGGCAGGCTCAGGAAGAAAGTGGGCTAAAAAAAAGGGAAGAGGACGTTTCCAGGACAGTGATCGCAGGATGTGGTCAAGAGAGGCTGCTGGGGGTGCTGCAGGCCACTCGTCAATCTTCATATCACTAGAACTGGGGCACCAGACACCAAGTGCCTGATGGGATGCAGAAGAAGCTCACAGAGCCACCTGGGAATTTTTCTTGCCAAAAATGTGGGACATGAATCTAATCAGGTTTCTAAATCTAACCACCAATACACAAGAAATATAGGAGATGGAGGAGCATGCTAAACGCCAGCACAAGGACAAAGCCAGAATATGGAACATTCTATCCAACAAATGACCCAGTTTCTTCCACAAATAAATGGCACTAAAAAAGAAAAAAAAAAAAGCATGGGCACTGCTACAGATTAAAAGAGACTGAAGAGTACCCCACCAAATGCAAGACGCTTAGTGTTCAGGGAAATTCTGCGAGCGCAGACAGGGAGGATACAGGAACTCTGTGCTTTGTGCTCAATTCTTCTGTAAACCTAAAACTGCTCTAAGAATAGTCTATTAACTTTAAAGAAAGAGAAACTTTTGTGTAGGTGTGACAGGGTTTCACACTGTCGCCCACACTGAAGTGCAGTGGTATGATCATGTCTCACTGTAGCCTTGACCTCGTGGGTTCAAGTGATCCTTCCACCTCAGCCTCTTGAGTAGCTGGGACTACAGGCATGTACCACTATGCCCGGCTAATTAAAAATAATTTCTTTTTGTAGAGGTGGCGGGGGAGCGGGTCTCACGATGTTGTCCAGGCTGGTTTCAAACTCCTGGACTCAAGGGGTCCTTCCGGGTTGGCCTCCCAAAGTGCTGAGACTACACTGCATTTACTTTATATGAAGTTCTTCGCTTGGGTGCATCATTGTGCCCACTCAAGAGAACCTAATATAAAGCAAATGCAATGTGAGAACCTTGTTTAGATCCCCATTTAAAGAATCCAATTATAAAAAGACATTTTTAAGACCACAGGGGAAAATAGAAGTGGTAATGATAAGGTTACATTTTTTAAAATCCTTGAAGTATTTAAAGGTTAATTGATCAATGTCCAAGATTTGCTTTAAGATACACCAGCAGGTAGTGGCTTACACCCATAATCCCAGCACTTCAGGAGGCCGAGGCAGGAGTTTGAGACCAGCCTGTGTAACATAACAAGACCCTGTCTCCATGAAAAAATAAAAGGCATGGTAGTTCATGCCTGTAGTCCTGGGGAAGCTGAGGTAGGAGGATTGCTTGAGCCCAGGAGTCTGAAACTGCAGTGAGCCATGATCATGCCACTATACTCCAGCCTGGTGACAGAGCGAGAGCCTGTCTCTTTAAAAAAAAAAAAAAAAGAGAGAGAGAGAGAGAGAGAAGTCAAGCAAGCAGCAAAACCTGGATCTCTCCAGAACTAGACTTGCCTCTCCAGAATTTTTCAAAGAGTTGAATCCCAGTNAAAAAAAAAAAGCAAAAAAAAAAAAAAAGCTGCAGGGTGAGTATAGGGGAGTTTATTATACTATTCTGTTTGGGTTTGGGTTTGAAATTTTTCCAGGCTAGGTGAGGTGGCTCATGCTTGTAATCCCAGCACTTTGGGAGGCTGAGGTGGGTGGATCATCTGAGGTTGGGAGTTTGAGACCAGCCTGACCAACATGGAGAAACCCTGTCTCTACCAAAAATACAAAAAATTAGCCAGGTGTGGTGGCAGGCACCTGTAGTCCCAGCTACTCAGGAGGCTGAGGCAGGAGAGTGGCTTGAACCTAGGAGGCGGAGGTTGAAGTGAGCCGAGACCGCACCACTGCATTCCAGCCTGGGCAACAGAGTGAAACTCTGTCTCAATCAATCAATCAATCAATAACTGTACCTCTTTACCCCTTCCAAGGAAACAAAACACCATCTACTCTAGCTCTGCTATCTTCCTAGCTTCAAAAACCCAAGATTGCCTAGCCCTTTCCCTACGCAAAACCCAATGAGCTGGAAAGCAGGCAAAAGTAAGTGAAAAAGGGAGCTACTGTCCTTGTACAGTCCTATTAAGAATCACCAGTATTATGTGTTTTAATTATTTCTGTTTTATAAAATTACCTCTGAACCTGGCACAGTGAGGCTCCCGTTGCATTTCTGAAACTATTCCTTACTCTTTATGCCTCTGTAGCTTTTCAGAAGTACTTCAGGAACTACTCTGGGAAATGAGAGTCTGGGGGACCTAGAGAGGGCATGAGAGAGTGGGCTGGGGGCCTGGCTCAGGACTCAGCTCCTCACTTGGTTTGTTGTCCTTGCCCTTGGAGGTGATGGTGAGGGTGTGCACATACAGCCGCAGATACCAGGGTACGGTGTCCAGCAGCAGCACCGGGAAGGCCCGGTATGGGTGGGTGTTGTACAGCAGTGTGCTCAGCTCCCCCTTCTGCAGCCCATAGCCGCTCACGTATCGCTGGGCATGGAGGAAGGGCACTGGGGGGATCTCTGTGTAGAGAAATGTCAACAGTTAAGAGCTGCCAAAGGTAAGGGTCACTCTCCACCCCAACTGCCCAGGCCATGTTCAGAGTCCAGGGCCAGGGAGTAGATAGGGAACAGTCCTGCCACTGAAACTGGGCAATCTGGGTTCTGGAATCATCCCTGTCTTCCCCAGCCCACAGGCAATGATGACAATAGGTTGCTAGTATTTACTAAGCACTTATGTGATGAACACTGTGCCCCCTTCGAACCCAAACCAGGTCCTCTCAGGATATTCCGCTCTTTCCCTTGGTAAGGGAACTGAACACAACTGTAATTAATTAACTGACAGCTGCCCCTCAATTAGTAGACATTATATTTCTTGAGTGCAGTGTCCTCTATCTTATTCAACACTCTATGCCTGGCACACAGTATAAATTCAAAAATATTGGGTTGATTAAGGGCATGCATGAACTAACTCCATTTTTCACATCATCTCATCCAATTCACTAGGTATATTCTTTATTTTTCAGATGTGGATGCTGAAGCTTGGAGAATTTAGGAACCTACCCAAAATCATAGATCTTGGAAGAGCTAGAGTCAGCAGCATATGACTCTGGAGATCTGGTCTAAATACAACCTTGTCATCTTACAGCAACGACGTGGAATTGTGGTCTTTTCTCTGTAGCCGCTGCAACCCAGTAGTCCAACCGTCCACCTACTCACCGTTCTCTGGGGGTCTCTTCCACTTGAGCTGGATGTTGAGGTTTCGAGAATTGTTGATCATGGCGGTGTCAAGCAAATCATAGATGGCATAGGTCTTCCGAGTGCCCAGGATGACGTCCTGGTATGTAGTGGTTGGGGGTGGGTTCACCTCCAATGTCTCATTGTCCTAGGGACACAAGGGCAGGCCTAAGAAGCAAGCAGAGAGGGCAGGCTGGTCTTGGGGACTAGGAGTTTGCTTGTGTGGCCGGAGACCTTGTTACCTGGTTGTAGTTGGTGATGTCCACATAGACTCTGCTCTCTGAAGCCAGGGGGCAAGGCTCCGTGAGGGTTCGGGAGAACATCCGGAAGAGGGACCAGTCTGAGAAACAGAGAGCAGCATTAAGCAGGTGCCAGGCCTAGGCCTAGTCCACAAAGATAAGGCAGGGCTGGCATAGGTGGGTAGAGATGAGTTGCCAAGATAGCTTACCTTTCTTCCCCTGCCCTGTGATGAAGGCATCAAATACAACTGACAGGGTCTGTCTCAGCTCCCAGGAGATGCTAGTACAGCGTGCATTCTATCAAAAGGGCCAGATGGTAGCAGTCAGGATCACTCTCACCCAACCACACAGTCCCAAAAAAAAGACTCCTACTCAGACTCAATCCCTCATCTATGTATCTTCATACCCATCGATTTGCTACCACAAACTCCTGAGCACTTGACCCCATGCCAGACCCCGTGCTGACAGCTTTATGTGCATCAGTTTGATAAACTATCACAACTCTAGGAGTGGAGTCTACGATCAACGTCATGTGACAGAGTGGGAAACCAGGTTCAGGGTAATTAAATGATTCACCCAAGGTTATGCCAGCTGGCAAGTGACGAAGCTAGCAATTGCTCCCACACAGCTATTGTTCTGAACCACTGTTTTCCATGACAAATATTTATTCAGTGCTTGCTAGGCAACCACTGTTTTCTTGGTGCTTGGCCAATACCCTGAAGAACCATCATCTCATCTACCACTTAGCACTCGCTCAGCCTGAGACAGACCCTTGACCACGTGCTTTTCTTCTAAGCCCCAGGATGGCAGTTTCCTCTACTCCCCATGACTTACTCTGCAAACAGGGCGGATATGCACTGCCTGGGAGTGGTAGCTGGTGTGGAACAAGCGATCTGCCTTCAGCAGCACAGAGAGGCCTGCCTGGAGGAGACGGAAAGAGGTAACAGAAGAGATGCCCTGGATGGAGCACTTGGTCTGGGGTGCAGGTTCTCTGTAAACGTCCCTGGCTGCCAGGCTGCATGGCCTCACCTTGGAACTACAGGGCAAGAGCTTCTTCCACGGGGTGAGGTTCTCAGTGCAGACCACCTCCCGAGGCAGCACAGCATAGCGCAGAAAGTAGTGGTCAGTGTCTGAGGGAGACAGAGATCTGTCTGGGGTAGTCCTTGGGCTCTCACCCCTCAGGACCCGCACTCCAGAGATGGGGATGACCCTCCTGCTCCCCACACCACTCTCTAGCACCACAGCCTGGAGAGTCCCAGGTGGGAGTGGGACTCCCTTCTCTCTTGGGAGAAGGCATGCAGAGATGGCATAGTATTGGGGACCTGCACACATAAGGGACTTAGGATCTAGCCCAGGCTGAGGAAGCAGGAAACTGAGGGAAAATGAGGCAAAGATGTGGGCAGGAGGTAAGAGGAAGAAGGAAAGGGCTGCAGGGGTTATCTCACCATTGGCCAGCCCCAGGGGTTTGAAGGAGGCAGTGGGAGTGACCGTGTTGGTGGAGTCGATGAAGTTGAGAGAGGCGCAGAAGATCCCTGAGAGGACATTACTGAGCTCCTTCCAAGATTTATCCACACTGGATAGAGACACAAATCCACTCACCGTCCTGGGGCTGCCTCTGCTCCCTCTTTCAAAGCCCAAAGCGGCTGCTAAACCCATGGTAGGAGAAGGCTGTATTCTTAACTATTAGACAGGTTAGTTAAGGGAGCTGGAACATTGCTGCCCCCACCCAGCCCACTTGCTGGGTCTCATCTTACTCAGCCCCTTCTTCCTCGCTCTCCTCTGGACATCTCTGCATCCCCATGGGTGTCTGCTCAGGTGATTCTTCCTTCCTTGCAGGCCTTTGCTCATTACTTTCTGCCTACCTTCAAGATCTGGCTCCAGTTCTTATCCCCTCCTCCAGAAGCCTTTCCTACCCTCCTTAAGCACAACCTCCTCTGTGCAGTCATGGTTCTGACCATCCAAGCCTCTTACCAGGTCGCTTCTGGGAGATGGCTGGGTGGCAACTGCATCACATCCTGAGCACCTTTTTCCTCTAACTAGGCTGTAAGCAACTTGAGGACAAGGACCAGTCTGGGCCATCTATGTGCTTCCCATGACACCATGGAAAGCACCTCATACATCAGAGCTGAAATGAGCTCACTGATCTTCCTTGAAGGTGCTTGGCTGGGCAAAACAATGCCTACTGCCCTGTGTATACCCTGGGAATAAAGGTAAGTCCTGGTTCTAGCATAGTGAGAAGTCTTATATCCAAAAAAGCTCACTGAACATGGGAAAAACAACCGTTCTAGGATTTTATAAAAACATCAAATTAAATTAGATGGTCTTTTCTTGGAGAAATATCAAAGAAATTTGCTCTCAATAATAGAAAGCATAAAACCTAGTAAGCACTAGAAAGAATTTTAAGCATTAGCTCCATATTACAGGTAATTACAGGCTGAGGGGAGACAGTGACAGCAGAGTAGATAGGAAAGGGTAGGGGAGCCAGAGTTGAGGCAAGAGAGAAAGTCTTAGCAAGCTGGGACGTCACTGCTTATTCCTCATTCCTTAGTGTTGTCCAGGGGCTTTTGACAATTCTTTGTTCAGAGCTTTTAAATTTCTCCAATCCTTAAGCCTCAAATAAAAATGGCAAACTTGAAGCCTGAAAGCTCTACCCAAACCATAAACATGCTTCATTTGGTATGCACAACATTGATCCGCACAGCACTTAAAATTTTTTTTTTTAATTACTTGCTGATACTTGAATTTGCCAATTTTCATATTAAATTGCAGATTGCTGGTATCTCTTGAAAAATGAGGCCAGGTGTGGTGGCTCACACCTGTAATCCCAACACTTTGGGCTGAGGCAGGAGGATTGCTTGAACCTAGGAGTTTGCGACTAGCTTGGGCAATATAGTGAGAACCTGTTTCTACAAAAAATTTTAGAAACATTTGGGTCTGACAACATTAGGCCTCTATTCCCACATAGCAACAATCCATAGAAGCTGAGTGACAGAACTGTTCTCATTAGAATGTCACACAAATGCTCTAGCCTGCCACAATTCCTGCTGCTTCCTTTTACTGGCCTAAAATTTGTTATCATACTTGCACTATTAATTTCTTATACTGGGATTAAGAGAAAATAAGATATATTTCTCATTCCTGTGTTTGTCAATTTTTAAAATACCTTTATTCATTTATTACCTGTGTGGCTCATGTAGACATGTTTGCAACCATTGCACAGAAAGGTTCTGTTCTAAATAGGACAGCCACAGTAGCCACTGGGAAATAGTGGTTTGTGGTTCACGCACAGTAACTAGACCTGCCCCTCTCCCAAACAAAAGCAGTTCCTCTAACACTGTAGCATCCTGTTGGCCAGTTGCGACCCACAGATATGCTATGGTTGGCGTTTGTGGTATTTACTATCATTGAAAAAAATATTAATCAATGTCTTTGAAAAGATTATCCAGTTGCCAGTTTTCTACTGCCTTACCTCTAAATAAGTATGAATTGTTTGCTATTTGCCTCTGTAGGGATATGCATGTGCTACTTCAGGTCTGAAAGTTTTAGGATTGGGAAGCTTACTCATCTGTGATAATAGTTCTTACTTCCAATGCCAGCTCTACTCCCATGGAATAGCTGCCTACTGGAAATGCTGTCCCCAAGAGCAGTCGCAGGATAACAACACCTTCCCAGCAACGTTCCCTCCACGGCCTGTAATGGGGCCCAAGGTGTGCACTCACTCAGTGACAGTGTCTTGGAACCAGACCCAGAGCTCTGCACCTGATGGGGCCTGCAGGAAGGGTGGACCCCAGTACCGGGTCCTCCAAAAGCCTTGTGTGAATGACAGGTGCAGCTCCCGTAGAGAATACTTGGAGATCAGCTGCCCCAGGGCTTTGGGAAACAGCCTGTAATGAGATACTGGGGAGAAGGGAGCAGGTGAGTGACGATCCCCACCTCGTCGGGGTCCACACCCAGGATCCAGAACTCCACCCAGGAATTAGACTCCGCCCCCATGGTTTGCCTCCAACCTACAGCCAGCCAGCAGGTACTACTGAAATCTTTCTCAGGTCAGATCTAGCGCCCTCACCTCCTTCCCGCTGAAGCTCCGAATCCCAGCGCGTGCGGAACTGGAATGTGGCGGCTACATCCCCGGAAGGCAGCGGGGTGATGACAAGCTCCTCTCGCAGGCTGTCGCGCTGGGGATCTGCAAGGCACCAGCCGCTGGGCCCGAGAAGCAGCAGGACAAACAGAGCAAGCGGCATGGCCGCCGCCATGCCTGCGGCTACTTCCGCCTACCCAGCGGCGCTAGGCCCCATGAAAGGCCGGCATCCAATAGGAAAGGCGTATGGGAAGTAACTTCCGGTACCGTCCCGGAAACCGGGATGCGGTTATCAGAGCGACCGCCTGCGCAGGTCGCGAAGATTGTCTTCGAGCTGGTGGGTCTAAAGGGGCACCGCGAGGACATGAGAGGGAGTAGGCAGGGCGAGTAACCAGCTTGAAGCCGCACCCAGTTAAAGGCGTTTCCACCCACCAGGACATGCTTAATAATATGAAGCTCCGCCACTGCCCTTTTACCCATTTAATAGTTGAGGAAACATTGACTGAAAAAGGTCAATTACTTTTGGGAAAACCATTGTGGTTTTAATTTGCATTTCCCAAGGTAAGAGGAACCTCGTGCCCCTCTTAGCTTCTAGTGTCTCCATTTGCTGCAAAACCCCCAGATAACTGGTTCTTTTATTATGAAGATGTTCAAACATACAGCAAAATTGAAAGAATGAGCCCCTGTTATAATGAACCTGTTTCCTATCACCTAGAAACCTAGATTCTACCATTTATGTTTAACTGTATTTGTACTTTACCATATATTTGTCTATACATCCATCAGTCCATCTTGTGTTTTGGTGCACTTTAAATTGTAGACAGTGGTACATTTTACGTAGTTCAGCATGCATAAAATTAGAGTTCAGTATTTGATTGCATTTTTCTTTTGATGTAAAATTCACATACAGTGAAACGAACAAATCCAAAGTACACATTCACTGAGTTTTGACAAATGCACACACCTGTGTAACCTGGACTCCTGTCATGATACAGAACATTTCTAAAACCCCAGAAAATTGGCCAGCACTCTTTCCTAGTCAATCCCTACTCCTCTACCACCTTCCAAAGGCAACTACTATTCTGATTTTTTCCCCACAATAGATTGGTCTGTTCCAGAATTAAATATAAATGAAATCATATAGTATATATACTGTGTAAGGCTTTTTTTTTTTTTCTCATGGGAATAATGTTTTTGAGAATCACCAATGTTGTTGCATGTATCCACAATTCTTTTTTATTACTGCATAGTAGTATGAATTTATCCATTCAACTGTTGATGGGCACCTTTAAAGTTTTTGGTTATTATAAACAAGACTGCTGTCTGTGCAAGTTCCTTTGTAGATGTGTATTTCTCATATCCTTTGGCTAGGTATTTAAGAGTGGAATTTCTGGGTCAAAGAACAGGTGTATATTTAATTTTATAAGAAACTGTCAGACCTTTCTCCAAAATGTATCATGTTTCCATGAACTATGAGTTCCCATTGCTCCACATCCTGGTTAGCATTTGATGTTTCTAATTTTTTGTACTTTCTACTTTTAGCCACTTGGGTATGTATGTAGTGGTTGCTCATTGTGGTTTTAATTTGCATTTCCCTGATAACTAACAATGTTATGCATCTGTTCTTGTGCTTATTGGCCATTTATAAGTTGTGTGTGTGTATGTGTGTGTGTGTTTAAGGTCTGTTAAAGTCTTCTGCACCCCACCCCTTTGTTTACTGGCTTGTCTTTTTATTGAGTTTTAGGAGTTCCAGAGTTAAATTCATGCTTTAGTTTTTCCACCTGCCCTATGGGAAACATTCATGAAGGATTTCATGAACAGTCTCTTGGTAAAACTCATGGCCACACTTCCAGAAAGAGCCAAATTTGGTGTCAGGCAGGTCTGCTAAGATATGCCCCAATCAGCCAGAAAGGAAATGTCAAAAAGATGTCTTTATCTCCTTATGTCCTCATTCTACCTACATTCAGTGTTCCTGCCCCATTAGACATGACATATTAGGAAGGCCATGGGCTTAGATGTCAGAATGACAGGAGTCCAAATGCCTATGCCAGCCTTTAATCCATATGAGCATGATATGGATTAAAGTGACCCAAGTGTCACTTTTCTTCATTTGTAAAATGAAGAAACCTACTTTCAGGATTGTTGTTAAGATGAGAAATTATGTACATGCAGCATATGGAATGTACCAAGTGCTTAGTAATAACACTCAACCCTATTACCTTGGCACTGTTACCTCTGTTTAGATAACATCTCTGTTTAGATAATAGTGCCCAGGTGATAGGGTTGAATGTTATTAAGAAATAAAAGTACAGAAACTGAGATAATAAAGATCACAATGGGTGATGGAGCTAGGACTATAGTCTACACTATGAAACCTCAAAATAATAATTTTTTAAAGGTAGCTGCCATCATTATGACTATTTTGTACTTCTGTGTTTTCCTTTTGAAATTGCCTGTCTCTATCATTCAGGACTCAGCCACCTCTACCTTCTCCTCCTCTGGTGGCTTCATGTACTTCTGCTGCATCCCTCATCACATTCTCTTTCCATTATCTGTGGCTATGTCTGCTCCTGGAAGAGCTAGTAGATGCTCAGTAATGTGTGAATGAATGAGCAAACAAGATGACATCATAGTGCAGTTCTGTATATTCTCCATTCTGCCATGCTGTTCAGTGTCAAGTTCTGTGCACTCCTGGGGTTGCTACAGTGTGAGCCTTATAAGGAATCTTTTTCTGAGCTGTAGTCCCTCCTTTCCAGTGTGTGTCAGGATGTCCATCCTATAACAAGTCCGTGCAAATATCAGAAGCCATGCTGTGGCTTGGAGACTGCTCCTTGACTTAGAGTTGGCTCCAGATCATCCTTCCATCTCCAAAGGCACTGTGTGGCCTCAGAAACGAGACAGCTAGGCTCTGGGCTGACATAAATCGTGGTTTAACTTTAATGCGACACTATAATCAAATGGTGAATCTGAAGATTATCATTTTTTAAAAAGTGAGCATAGCAAGTATGTTATTTTATAATCTTTTTCTTTCAACAGTTATCATAACTATCTTTCCACCAAAAATATGTGGTGAATAGATGATACAATCTTGGTACTATGTTGATTGTTTTTGAAGCTATATGATGGGAACATCTTTCTATATTTGTTGTATGTTTGAAACCCCCATAATAAGTTTTTAAAAAAAAAAAACCAAAGAAACAAAAAATAGTCAGCTGGAGATGGTGGTTCTGAAGGCCAGCCAAGCCCCTGTGGTTTGGCAGGAGAAAAGGTTATTGTCCCAACTAGGAAGTAGTCCTGGGGTCTCAGCTGACATTAGACTTTTCCAGGCAGGGCTGGGGCTCATAGCAGCCAAGCTGAAGACTCCAAGTAGACTCACAAACAATTCTACTTCTCTAGAGAGCTGTAAATTCCTCTCCCCAGGCAGGCTCCCCACAATCTTCGCATTGTGTGCCTGGGGTACTAAGAGATTTATTGACATGTTGACAGCAACCACACCAGTCTAGCTTCTCATCATTTGCCATGGAAGGAAGGGGGGTGATCCTGGGAGCTGAGAAGCCCTGCACAGCAAAGCTGTAAGGATCAAGGGCCGCAGCCCAAGAGATGGCTCAGCCACAGTCAGACAGGAGGTAGACATTTCTACTCTAAAGGAAGGAAGGAGAGAAGGCATAAGAGGACAGAGATGATGTCTTCTGTGTGCAGCAAGGTCATAAGGAACCCAAAACACCCCAAAAGTAAATAGAGGATTGGGCCCTGGCCCAGCTCAGTGGATGATCTCAACTTGGATCTAGAGGCTATTGCACAGAAGGTATTCACTCCATAAGCTTCTTGGAGACAGAGAATGGCTGGTGGACACTCTTACTTCACTGGAGTTCCCACAAGTTTCTCACTAGTGTTAGGAATAAGTACTTAGGAACAGATACTTACACTGGCCTCCTGCAGGGGTGAGAGCAGGTTGGGACAATAGGAAGACTGCAGCAGCCTTGTCACTCAGCCTTGGGTGGCACAAAATGCTTTAGGATTTTGGCTGAAAGTCACCCACTAAATACCATGGGTGGTATTTAATGTATGAAGGGAGGCGGAATTTTTTTTTTTTTTAATGTGAGAAATGAGTTGATGTTCCTTAAGACTGGGTCCTATAACCTCTCCTTTTATTCAGCATTCTCTCTCTGGGCATTCTCTCCCATCATTCACACCCATGGCTTCACTTACCTCCTATACTCTGAGAACTGATCGATGTCTTTTTCCAGCTCAATCCTCTTATCTAAATTCCATATGCATGGGTACAAGGGCCTACTCAACCTATCCTCCTGGATGTCTCAAAGACATATTAAACTCAACATTTCCCAAACCAAACTTATGGCCCTCTTCTCAAACCTGGTTCTGAAACCGCCCATCTGAGTAACTAGCCCTCTGTTCCAAAAAGGATATAAGAAGGCGGCATGGCTGGAGTACTGCCTCACTTGACATGCTAAGGAGTTCATGTCTATCTAGGCACACTGGTTTGAGAGACTCTACTGGAAGACTATAGGATGGTTAGCTGGGTGCAGTGGCTCACATCTGTAATCCTAGCACTTGGAGAGGCTGAGGCAGGTGGATCACTTGAGGTCAGGAGTTTGAGACCAGCCTGGCCAACATGGGGAAACCCCGTCTCTACTAAAAATAGAAAAATTATCCAGGCCTGGTGGCGGGCACCTGTAATCCTTGCTACTCAGGAGGCTGAGGCAGGAGAATTGCTTGAACCTGGGAAGCAGAGGAGGTTGCAGTGAGCCAAGATCATGCCACTCCGGCATGAGCAACAGAGCGAGACTGTCTCAAAAAAAAGAAGACTACAGAATGGTTTTGGGGGGGGGAGTGCTAAGAAAAGCAGTGGCATCTTGTCCAACCTCATTTTCCGTCTCAGCAAATTATCCTGTTGCAGGAGGCAGAAACAATGGCAGCACCCTTGACCCCTTTCTTTCTCATACCCACCTGTTAAATTTTTAGAAATTTGCCTCCTAAATCTCTCTGCATTCCTTCAACTTTTCTCCATCCTCCCTACCTCCACCCTCATCCATTATCTCTTTTCTGGACAGCTGCAGTCATCCTCTGGTGTCCAGGCATCCACTCTGGTCTCCCCCAATTAGAACTCCACAAGGAGCCCTGCCAGCTATTCTTCCCCTAGTTTCCTCCAGTTCATCATTCAGATCTTAGTTTAGTTCAAATGCTATTTCCTTAAGGGAAACACCCCTGTGACCTTTCATAGGCTTAACTCCTTCCTGGCACTAGCAACACTTGTAATTTTACATTTGGGCCCCCACTAGACTGTAAACTCCATGACAGCAGAGAT